TAATAAGAGTATTCTATAATTTTACCGTTTACATCGTATATCTGAATTTTAATGTCAATTAATTGAAATTTTTCTTTATAAAATAAGCCTTAATCAATTAAATTAAGTTTAATCACAAAATATGCAGTTGCAATTTTGGCAGTGTGGCAATAGAAAAATCCTGAGGAATATTCTTATCATTTTATTGAAAAAATACTGCAAAATAAAAAAAAATGAAAAAAATTTATTTGAATAAATGTGATACCAGCAAATAATATAATAATATATCTCCTCGTATATAAATTAATTTATGTCTCTACATTTCACAAAACAACCTTTTGGCTACGTAAAAACGTTTAGTTTGGTTTGGAAATTAAAACACGAGGTTTGCTTTAAGAAATTATGTATCTTTTGCGTACAAGTTTTTACACTTTTATTTTTATTAACATTTGTACACGCTAAAATGCAGTTTAATATTACCCAATTGTGTCCGAAATATTTAAGACACACACTGTATAATACAAATTATTGCTAAATTGCACGAGTATTTCTTCAGATTCACATATCACAAAATTCAGTCTTCACAGAAACACCCATCTTTTGAATTTTCCAAAATCCAGTCTAAATATCTTGTAACACGGGTGTAGACCCCTGGATAGCCGGGTCTAGCACAGCCATTCCCCCAGGAAACAATTCCTGCGAACCACAATATAAAAATTAAGAAATGAGGAATTTAAAAAATTACCGATGAGTTCGTATTTTTTATCTGTTCTTTGCGTAACCAACGGACCACCACTATCACCCTAAAACAATTTTTGCATGGAGTGGTTCAAATTTGATTTGTTACCTGACAAGAATCTTTTTTCCCTGTCGCAGGATATCCTGCACACAACATGTTATCGGAAATCATTTGTGCCGAGTAATTGGTTTTCCTGCAGTCCTCATTACTGAGAACGGGTACTTCAACTTCTTGTAACACACAGGATGGTTTTCCATCTTCTTGCAGTGTTCCCCAACCGGTAGCTACAGCTTTTGCCCCAACGTATAAATTATCTAGAAAAAAATTTTGTTTTCTTTGCTTATCACTTTTTAGGGGTCTTGCCTTTAGCTTTGGGCATACAAATGGGTTTAATTGTTTGCGTGATAGGTACTCTGTCGTTGAGTCTTAAAAGTGCAATGTCGTTATCAAAATTAAGAAAACTGAAAGCCCCCGCAATGGCCCTGAGGACGAATCTCGACTCCGGCTTCTTGCTCTCAACACAGCGATCGTGCTCTCCGAAAGTGACCTTGATCATGAACCACATGAACCTGAAACCCAGCACGATATGGAAGGTACCATGTGGGACTCATTGTTTCAGAAATGGTCGCGATAAACCTTCAGAAAAATGTGGTTTAATCGAGGCCATTGATAACCACAAACAGGTTCCCAACTCCGAATCCAACTACTAGGTCACAAATTTGAACTTGACCCGCGAGTGCAACGATTTCTTGCACTTATTGTTATTACAATATTACCCTTTGACGCAGTGAGCGGCTGTTAAGACGTAGCGGTCATTGATCAGCATTCCTCCGCAGTAGAACCTGTTGAAATACGAAAGACGAGCCATCCAAGGAAATTCATTTTCGTTGGTCGGTTTGCCGCCTACGATACGGCTGTTTTCGTTTCTTTCACCGCAAGCTACGACAAATAGTCAACAAGGAAATTTAAATTTGGGACACTTACAGCAGGAACAAGACGAGGCGGGAGTGTCGTGACGAGGAGGAGGATGGTTCCCAAAGTTGCCAAATTTTGGACCAAAAATCTTCTTCGGCAGTGTCTCTGCTGACGCTTCCTGAAACAAGCTACCTTTGGCGCCTCTCTGAATCACAATTAGTCTAAATACCTAACGGGTCCCCAGACGCGACAAGAATTTAATCAAACAAAAATATTTTTTTACGTTTAAATAAAATTTGGAAAATCTCCAACTTACTTACAGTTCCACTTTCCAAAAAAATTAGCGCGAAAGATATGACAAGAATCGATTTTATTGAGGCCATAGTGTTGGTAAAAGTGTCAGCATAAAGCACAACACATTGATCTTCACTCCAGCACCAACAACTTCTGGTTGCGAACTGTCAGAGAATAACTTGGAACTGGCCGGAGTCAAACATGTTGATTAACATTAATAATACCTGAGTTGTTTTGAAAATTACTCAACTTTTTTAAAACTGCCGGAAAAGCAATTACAAAGATTTTCCCTAATGACTTTGTTGGTATTCTATTCAGACATTCTTCCGCAGGCACAAATAATAATAGAACCAAATTCATTCAAATCGAATTAAATTGATACAAAAAATATCAAACAACAATCTTTCACGGGCCATTGACTCCCAAATATTTCTGTATGATTGTTCTGTATATAATTAGCATAATTTGACCAATACCGGTTTAGAAATAAAACTCACAAGAAAAAGAAATAATTTATTTACACTATGAACATACACATGTATCCTCGAGATTATATTTGAGCCAGTTGATATATTTTGAAACTCTTGTGTACACCCCGGGGTATCCAGGGCGGCCGCATCCCACCCCCCACGACACGATTCCTGTAAATTACCCAATCAGAATCAATAATTCTTGCATTTTGTAACACAAATACATTAGAGTTTAAAATTTGCAGTTTCAGTTATCTATCCTTGTTTTCACTACTAAAATTTATCAAAACAAATCAGAAATACACGTGAAGAAAATATTTGCTTATTTATTTATTTTTAAACTTAAAAAAATATGTGTAAATATTTCCAATCCTAACAAAATTCCACTAAAATTCAAGTAATGCCAAAAAAATTTCACCGTAATTCTCGTAATTTCAATAATAATCCATAATAATTCCATTGTCTCTTCAAATAATTCCTATAATTTCAACTTGATTATTAATTAATTATTAATTCCCATTTAATTTCGATAGTTTGAAGAAACCCAATGTAATTTTTATAAGCAATTATTTTCGATAAATCCAAAAAAAAAAAAAAAAAATTTTAAAAATAAAAAGTGTATACCTATTTCCAATTTCAAAAAATTTCACCAAATTTCAAGTAGGTAACTCCAAAAAAACTCCACCGTAATTTCAATAATGGATCGTAATTGTGTTGTTTTTAGATTAATTGCTATAATTCCAAATTCATTCCTATAATTTTAAGTTATTTTCTGTAATTCCGAAGTAATTCAAAATTAATTCTAAGAAATTCAACGTAATTTTTAAAAGCAATTATTTTTGATAATTCCAAAAAAAAATAAGAAAAAGTGTACTATTTTGAATTCCAAAAAAAATCCACCAAAGTTTAAGTAGATAAATCCAAAAAAATTCTACGGTAATAATCCCATAATTTTAATGATATATCGTAATTCCATTGTTTTTAGATTAAAAATTCCAAAATAATTCCTGTATATTCCAAATTAATTCCGGTACTTCTAAGAAATTCAAGGCAACTTTTAAAAGGAATTATTTCCGCTAATAAAAAATTCAATAATTTAAGAAATATTCTAGTAATTCACAAATAAATTCAGTAATTCCAAACAATCCAAGATAATTGTATTAATTCCAAAAAATTATAGTAATTCACAAATAAATTCAGTAATTCCAAACAATCCAAGATAATTTTATTAATCCCAAATATCTGGAAGCTATTTCAATTTAATTTCAAATTATTTGTACAACGAACTCCAGAGCGTCTCGTTATTGAGTACGTAAGTCAATATTGTACAGGGAGAACAAAGAATATGTAAGTATGTATGAATTATCAAGTACTGGATAAATGTAATCATTTTTTTAAGAATACATTTTTTGAGTTATAAATGTAATAGATTGCCATATAAAAAATACTGAATTGAAAAATTAAGAAAAATTTTCAAACATTTTTTAAAAAGCGAATCACATTTTTAGAGCACTTTATTTTTTACTAATAATTTTTTGTGGAATCAAATAGTTTAGCCAAAAACCCTTGATATATATTTTTAACGAACTATCACAAAATGAAATTTTTTATTTTTCTACTCCTATATTTCGAAATTAATATATGTAGGTATGATTTTAAATTATTTTTTCCTTAGATGTTAAAGAATATTTAGATTTTTTATAAAAAAAAGAGAAAAAAAAATAAAATTAAAAATTAATTTAATTAATGAATTATTATTTTTTTTTATAAATCTGTTATTATTATTAGAGGTTAGATTTTTTGACGATTCTTTGGGGGTTTGTACCTACCTACAATTTCGAACTTGTCCCCATTTGGCACTAAAAGTGGCCCACCACTGTCCCCTTGACAAGAATCCATGGCACCTCTCCCTGCACACAGCATATAAGAAGTGATTCTCGACGCTCTATATTTCATAGCTCGACACTGAGACAGTGTTAAAATTGGCACTTGTACTTCTTGGACGACATTTGGTAACATTCCACCTTCCGTAGTCCTGCCCCAGCCGACCACAGTCCCGGTTTTCCCCGCAGGATCCTTCCCTACAAATCTCCTATTTCACACACTCCAATTTTGGGTTTCTACTACCTGATGTAGGTAAACAAATCGGGCGAATGTTTTTCGTAAACTCGACCGGTTTTCGCAACTTAAGAAGCGCAATATCGTGGTTGTACGACTCCTGGTCAAAATTCCTATGCCTGATGACAGCAGAAACAGCCCGCATTTTGGCAGGAGTGTCCTCGGTAGTAGACTGATCATGATCGCCCAAAATCACCCGAATTTTTGACCGCTTTAATCTGAAATTTTTCGTGAATTTTTGACCACCTCTTGAACAAGTTTTACCGTCGGACGCAATGTGCAGCTGTCAGGACGTAGTCCTCTGTCAGGAGTGAAGCCCCACAGTGGAAATGGCCGTCGTAGACGATTCTGGCCACCCACGGGTAGCGGTTTATTCCAGTGGGACGCCCCCCAACGATTCGATTCTCTTGGTTGCTTTGGCCACATTCTGCAAAAAAATCTTGATGCGATGTCATGGTGGCTCGGAAATGAGGAGACTCACCGCAAGTGCAGTTTCGCGTTTTGCCCTCGTCGTCGTCGTCCTCGGAGGAGTCGTTTCCTCCAGTTAGGAATGATGTTAATCCCACTAGTTGATTAAAGAGGAATTTGCCGTTTCGGGTCGTGTTTGTCACTTGAAATCGGTTTTTCTGGAAAGGCGGGTTTTAGAGAGTTGTTTTGGAGTGTTTTTTCGCTTTGTGGACTGGTTAGTGATGCTAAATTTAGAAATTTTTTCTCCGAATAATTAAGTGGAAAATGTAGGTTTTAAACGACATCATCCAGTCAGCTGGGTTATACAGAAATAAGTAAAATTCAATTAAACTAAGAAACCTTATCTTTCATGAACATTTTTATTTGATTATTATTGTGAATTGATTAATCTAACTTTCAAACACTTCAAATTATTAAAAGAAGCTAAAAAAACTTCTTATTACTCAAACAAATGAATTTTTAGTTTGAAAATACAATTTATTTGTATTAATATCACACAAGAACTTAAAACAGGTAAAATTTTGTTGTTTATTTGTTTTTATCATTTTTTGAGTGAAATATTTGGGTTATTTTTTTACTTTTACTGCGGCTATGTGTCCTTTCGCGGATGGCAAGAGGAGGAGGCAAGAGATCCAAAGCACGTGCACGATTTTCCTCTGATTCGCAGCCATTTTCCCACTTAGCACGAAATCATAATCACTTGCACTTTTCCCAATTTGAATAAATTACAAAACGTCGCTATTTTATTTACGTTTTGGGTTAGTGAGGTTAAAAATAATAATTAGTATAGATTCACGTGGTGCTTTCACCGTCTACCAAACACTGTTAGCTCTTTCACTACACCTACGAAGAAAGTGACTCGTATTGAGGCAAGATACGTCATGTTATATCCCAAGAAGGACGCAATTACAATTTATTACTAAAAAAAGTAACGAATCGAAAGTTTCTACATTGAAAATAAAGCAACTGGAAAGCAGGGGATTATTAAATTAATAAATCCAAGTGCGAATAAACTTTCAAAGAAAATGACACTTTAGTAATTATTCGCACGGCAATTAAGTGAGAACAATATTATTTTTTTAGGTTTGTGGAACACATTTTTAAAAATCTTTACATTTCATTGAGGAGCTGAATCGGAGCATGATCGTATCAAGTCGTGCGTGATTTTACTCTCTCCACTTTCATCAAAAAACATGATTCAATTCGTATCTATTTATTACATAATCTTTGGCACATTTTTTGGCACAGTTGAATTTGGCATTTTTTAGGCATGTCGGGGGTTGTGACGAGGAGGGGGACACAGACATTCTCCATTGAGGGCATCCTGGACCCAATCCAGATAATTCCCGATTTTGGTGTAAACTCCAGGCAAGTTGGGTCTGGCACAGCCGCGACCCCAGGACACCACCCCAATTATCTCCATGTCGCCATTGGAGTTAGCCACATGGAGAGGCCCTCCACTGTCACCCTAAACCACACAATTATTTCCGAGAAGTTAAAAATCCGGGTAATTTACCTGACAGGCATCTTTTTCTCCCTCGGGATACCCAGCACAAAACATATTTTCCGAAATTTTATTCTCGCCGTAGCCGGATTTGTAACAGTCTTCTTTAGACCAGACCGGAACTGTGACTTTTCGTAACACTCGAGATGGTTTTTCTTTCTCTCCTAGACGCCCCCAGCCGGCTACCACTGCCGTTTTCCCGGAGTAATCCTCATTTCCGGTGACTGGCAAACAAGCAGTTTGGACGTGGGCGTCGAAATCGACAGGTTCGTCCAGCTCAATGATGGCAATATCGTTGTTGTAGCTGAAAGCGTCGAAAGCTTCGTGTTCTTTGATTCCTTTGACGCCTCTGACGATGATTGTAGAGAAGCGGTCGTGAGAGTCACGGTCATGGTCAGCGAGGACTACCGTGAATTCATTCACGGCGAATCTAAAGGGATTTTTTTTAATAATTGAAAAGGGGTTGATTTGTTATTACGCACCCATTGACACAGTGCGCAGCAGTCAATAGATGCCTCCTCGTGATCAGAGTGGCTCCACAGTGAAATTCGCCACCTTTGCCTAGTCCTGCGATCCAAGGAAACTCGTGGACTTTCGTAATATTTCCGCCGACCACTCGCATTTGCCTGTTGCTCACACCGCACACTAAAAATCGACAGGATAACATCCTTCCTCCTGTCTCTCGTCTTCAACTTACCACAATTACAATCCGAATTACGAGGTGCAGCCCCCACATACCCACCAAACACTAGAAGAAGAACAAAACCAAGCATTTTAAACTAAAATGTGCATGTATAAAAAAACAACCACGAACTAATTACCATCATTTTAGTATGGATTGTTTTTATACAAGTTGTGTTAGGTTTCAATGTTATTTTGGAGGGGTTTTGCCTTGACCATTTTCATAATGTCTATCTGATGCTACCCACTTTATTCAATGTCTAGGGATTTGTGTGCATTCAAGGTCGATGCATGTGCATGTCTGACACATTTTCGCAATTGCTTTAAAGAGGTGATACATTTATTTGCTCATTTCGACATTCCAATGAGGGAATATGAGCCTCCAGATTTGCTTTGTCAAGATTGACAAGCTTGAAATCGATTATGCAACGGATTAACATTGAAAATAAGTAGGTGTGGTGTTAACAGACGACCAACCAGACGAAAGCAGGTGTGTTATAATGAGTTTGATAAAATGGTAAATAAAACAATTGTGCAATTTGGCATTCATTTCGGAGATCCGAGAGACGCAGTTTTTGCAAAATGGGATTACTATGAGGAGGAGGCAACATAATGACTATTTTTCAACCAGAAAATTGAGTTTTGTGTGTCAATAAGCGGAATTATGGGCAATTATGCCGAATTTAGGAAAATTACTTCAAACTACTAACACATATTTTGGTACAATTTTTCAACAAAGAAATGCAGAGTCGTAATTTATCACGTGTGTTAGCAAAATTACAATAAACAAACCAAATTTTTTCAAAATGTACATTGTAAAGAGTTTTACTTTGTGTCATAAAATAATATGAAACGGCTAAAAATACAACGACATTAGTAAAACGAGAAAGTAGTAATGCTTTTCCAATTTTCGTGAGTTTTATAGTTTTTGATGTTTGTTTCTTGAACAGCATGTCAAGTAAATCTGAAGAGGAAAAAATCGCATTGTTGGCAGAACCTGAATTGCATTTCAAGTAGTTTGAAAGTTTGCATAGGAGAAGGATTTATTAGAAACTTCGATTAGTAAATTTCGTCTCAATTCACTTAAAATTTGCATACGACCAGAGTGGCAATGGGAATATCGGTTTGCGGTTAGTTTTCCAAAAAGGGACTACCTTGAGAAGCTTGCCTTATCCAAAAAATGTGTATTAATTTGGTCTAGAAACCTAATTAAGCTCCCATCTGATCATGCCCTACATATGGGTACGAGGAAATTTAAGTGAAGGTCGCAAATCCCATTGAAATAATGAACAATGCGCACTGTTAGAAATTTCAGTCATAAAAGTGAACGAGATCAGACAAAAGTTGCGTTATTAGGTTACCTACACTTGTATTATTTATTTATGTAAATGAGTGTAATTTAAAAAATGAGACGCAATTATTATATTGTTGGTTTTGACATTGGCAATTGATAACACCAATTTAAGCAAAATTTATTATGTAGATTATGACCTAAAACCATTAATGCAATATGCACTTTCAATGCAGGTTATATAAGAAAATTATCGATTTTCTCTCCCAAAAATAAAGACAGTGACAAAACTGGCTTCTTGGAATCCTCCGGTTGTTGCCATGGTACCTAGTTACCTACTTCTTCATTACCTCTGCATAGATAATATTCCTCAGTTGAAAATCTCAGTCGGTCATGTCAACAACTTTAAAAATTCGAAAATGTTGTACCAAACGTTTATTTTTATCATTGTGGTCCATCTAACTCATCAACAATCACCAAAGGTAATGACAAACACCAAAAATTGATTTTTAGGTATATTTCTTTTGTTAAGACCATTGTCGAAACCACAACCGGAGTCCCTTTTGTCCTAAACCCGGACCAGCAGCCCGCCAACCGTGCCACCTTTTTCGAATGGCTGTGGAGCCTTCTCGGATTTGGGAGTTCCCCAAACCCGATCCCTGACATCGTCCAACCCGCGGAAAATTGCCCCAAGTGCAGTAAGTACCCCGAAAATCATTTTCTCACTTGATAATGGGCAAATTTCAGCCTGTGGCTTGACGTACAAAAATAAGAGAATAGTCGGAGGTGTCGAAACTTTAATTAACGAATATCCATGGATGACCGCCTTGACATACAACAATCGTTTTTATTGCGGGGCTTCTGTTATCAACAGTAAATATTTGATAACAGCCGCACATTGTGTCAATGGGTTGGTATTAAATTGCGGTCCAATTAAGCGTGAAATAAATCTCGTAGGTTTTCCAAAGACCGTCTCGCTGCTGTTTTCCTCGACCATGACCGATCGAACTATTTCGAAACTCAAACTTTTACAAGAACTATAAGTAGAGTCTTCCGGCATCGCTATTATGGCTCTGGAGGGACGTACAACAACGATATCGCTATCCTCAAACTTGAGAAAGAACTCAATATCACGGGGTTACTCAAGCCTGTGTGTCTTCCACCGACTGGGAAGAGTTTCACCGGACATAAAGGTGCCTATTTATGAATAAATGACGCGATTTTGAGGAGGTTTTGCAGGAATTGCCATCGGTTGGGGCGCCACACACTCTCACGGACAAGTCTCAAACACTCTACGTGAAGTGGAGGTACCGATTATGTCCAATATTGAATGCAGAAGAACTGGTTATGGAAATAAAATTACCGATAATATGATGTGTGCAGGTTATCCAAACGGAATGAAGGATTCTTGTCAGGTAAATGAACTAAAAATGAGAGGGGGCTGGCTTAAACTCATTTCAGGGGGATAGTGGGGGGCCACTGCATGTCGTCAACGGCACCAACCACCAAATTGTCGGTGAGCAAACTCAAAAATTAACCAAAAAAATATTTATTCAATAACAAACAAATTCAAATTTTTGTGCAGGAATTGTGTCGTGGGGTGAGGGATGTGCCCAAGCTAACTACCCCGGAGTTTACACTAGAGTTAACAGGTTTATATCCTGGATACGAAGTAACACTCGTGACGCTTGCTATTGTGACGACTAATTTATTGCCTACTCGTACATATTTTTATTAAATTAATTGAAAAGCCAAAACGCTTCTAATTCGCCTTTTCCCTGAAAAAAATTGTCACACCACTGAAAATTCCTGGAAATTTTCGAACCTTGACTTTGACTTTTCCCCTATTTTTGATGACGTATTTTTTCAACGGAAGCAGGTTTTTCGTGTCGGCTGAAATATTAATCATGCCGGGCTGAAATCACCTCATTATTGTCAATTTTCACAAAAATTGGGCCATTACCGAACTGGTGGATTGCATTCTAGAAGCTGTGTTAACCGTATCTCCGAAAAAACAGTACCGTGGGACTTTAATCCCTACAACTCCTGCAACAGCAGGACCTGAGTGAATTCCTGAAAAACGTAAATTATCCCCACTTTATGAAAAAATCAAATATTGACCGATCCTGATATTGACTTTTACGCCATCTGGACTCTTAATCTCGTCGGTTTGTTTGAGCATTTCAAACGATACAGATGCGATATTTTCAGCATGTTTTGGGGTCCTTTCAGGAGCGCCACTAACGGCCATGTAAATCTGACCAACAGTTTCGACCTAAACTTTCAATTAAAGGATCGTTTTTTACAGAAGTTTATTACTTTGTAAACACCGAATTTGTCCATTAGTGAGTCAAAACAGGAGAAAACCGTGTTCATCGTTGACACCACTTGCATGGCGTCTTTGACCGTTTCAGAAGACAGTCCTACCAACTCGCAGAAAAGAATCGTAACGGCTTCAAACGACTACAAATCAACTTTGGGTAATGTTAAATCACAAAAACGGGAAGTTTACTTCGCAAGTGCTCAAGGGAGAATTTCCGGTTCGTAATCGATCAGCGACAGTTTGCGGAATCATGGAATATAAAAGATCATCGCCTCGCCGTTTCCAAGTGTCTAAAAGTTTGTAACTTTTCTCTAACTCATCCGACCTTTGCGCCTCTTTATCAAACATAATTTCAAGTCTTAAATGAAATTAGCAAGTTTTGTGTAATTAATTTACTAACTTACTTGGAGTTGTGTTGCCAACCTGCCAACACCATCTCCTTGCTCAATCCGTGTTGGTTCAAATCGTTGAGATACAAGCCTTGCTCCGGTAATTCATCCAAATCATTAATTCTTGAAAAAATCAATAAAACCGAAAATTCAAACAAGGATACTTACATCGGACTGCAGAGAAAAATTATGGCGTTTATATCTTTAACAAATTTCATTTGTCCTTTCAGGAGAAGGTTTTTCAGTTCGGGAGAAGCGGCCCGATTGGAGTCAGTTTTATTTTCAGTTTTAGTGAAGTTATTCGTACCTCGGTTGCACTCCAATTCGAACATGACTGACTCCAAATTGCGCGTCTAGAAATTGTGTTCGTTATTTTAATCTGAAAATAAGAAACGTACATTTTTCCACGAAAAGGTAATTCCTTTGGGGCGTCTCAGCTTGAAGTAAAAGCTGACAGGTTTGTTGAGAAAATCTTCCTTGCCTTTCCATATCTCGGATAATTTTTCACCAATTCCCATTATATTCATATTAGGGTTTATTATAATACCAAACGGAAATAACTCCAAGACGAGGGAGCACGGAAATGGGGATAATCGAATGAATTTATTGAACGAAGTCTTTTTTTCGTTATATTGCATCTTTAAAATTTCGAATTAATTCGATTTGGGGACATTTGATACTTACATATGGTTTATTATCAAAATCGAGTCTATAAGTCACAATTACTGTGGTTTTGGTACCGGCGGCAGAACTCGCTTTTTCCAAAACCCGCACTTTTAATTTGAGATTATAAAAATCTTGTGCGATTTGTTGTAATTGGCCTACAATTAATCAAATTTGAGATTGTTACAATCAATGGGGAGAAATAGACCCATGACGTATTGAGTGAATCCTTGTCTTGAGCTCCTGTAAACTAAAACGCAGCCTTCTGAATCAATATCGGTTAAATATATGGAAGGACTTTTCATTTTTGGGTAAGTGAAGCAAAATTGTGAGTGGATATTATCAACACTTTGAAGAAAATCGGTAAAAAATCGCCCGGTGGCTTTCACAGTGACGTCGTAGCTTTAAGAAACAAGACTGAAATAATTTGGTTGAAACGTGAAGCGACATTACCCCAAATTCGAGAAATATCTCACAAAACAGCGGCCAAAAAAATTCATGAAACTGTCATACGAAGCTGTGGTGATTTCAGCACAGGCTGCAGCTAAAGAGGACATCACGTTGTCTGAATACACTTTGTGTGTTTCAAACGAGATATATTTGCAATTGGCCTGTTCCAAAACTCGTTGCCAAATTTCCTCGCCATATTCTAACTGAAATGTGTCGTGAATTTGTGATTGTTTAATTTGAAAGTATTTTACCTGAATAAAATATTGAACACTTTCCAATAACATACCGTACATGTTGATCGATTTCGGGGCAACCGCAATGCACTAGCTCTTTGCTCTGTTTAATCTAGAGCTAGTATCAGAACCGGCTGTTCCGGACGAATTAAGGTAAGTAAATATTAGGACAAGTAATGGAATATCGTGAAACAAATTAATTAAGAGAGTTCGGCAAATATGATGGTTTTTAATGAGAGAAAGCACGCAATTCGTCAAGAAATTACGAAATTCAAATTGACAAAATTTGTTTTTAATTTTTAAAAAGTCAATATAATAAACTGCTTCACAAAAGTTAAGGAAGTGTGCAATAATTACAATAATTAAATAAATTAATAAATTATTAAAAAAATAAATTAATAATTAATTAAAAGTGAGATAAAGGCAGATATCTTTTTACTTTTTTGTTTTTGCTGGATTGCACAATGCTTAGAAGAATAAAATAATGTGACTTCCTTAACTTTTGTGGAGCAGTATTTTTGTTTCTAAGATCATCAAAGGTTTTATGCATTTTTCTGGACCTGACCCCTACGAGAGAGAATAACGTCATTTGGTCTGAAAGCACAAAATAAGTCAATAACATGAAAACTACTCGTCGTAGAGTATTTTAACCTTCTGCGAGTGAAACAATCTAAAATTGATTAATCATTTTTGGTTTTGATTTATTACAACTATAAAAATCGAAAAAATTTGATTTTTTTAAACTAGAGCCAATAATGTTTAGTATACTTTTTGAGTTTGTGAAAAGTGTTATTTGTTTCTTTGAAGTAAAATAGATTGCAATTTCTGTGTAACAGAAGAATCTGACTTAGAACTGGACCCTATTGACAAAATTTGAGCCAAGAAACTGCTCTATTTCATCCCAAAAAAGGCATTGTGAAAAGTGACAAACCAGCAATAGAAAAGTTTCGATAAGAAGAAGAGGGCTAAAATCTCCGATGTTACCAACAGTCCCTCCACTATCACCGATCAAAGAAGTCCCAAAATCGAAAGTGCAGTTCTGAAGAAAGCCAATCAGCTGAGAAAGAAGCGAAATGGAAAAATCGAACGAAGCAATGTCGAAATTTTTACGATGTCCAAGAGCGTTATACAAATGTCATTAGACTAGTTTTTATAAGATGTTAAAACGGATCGGAATTTTTTTAATAAGATTAATAAAGCAGGCTCTTTATGATAGGACTAACTGAAAAAAAACCAATTCTTTCAATACTGATAAATCTTACTTTTATTAACTAGAAACCCTGTTATCCGTCATGATGCCCTTGTTTTTTTATAATTAAAAATAAACGTTTAATGAACAAAATGAAAAACAATTTATAAAAATTGAAAAAAGTAACGGTAGAAAAATTCTTAACTTAAAATGCGTATTTCTTTTTTATTCATAAAAAGCCGTCCTGGTCCCTCGCCACCCTGTAGAAGAAGGGCACGCCTTGTGTCCTCGTAAGCGAATTGTCACGGGCCTAAGCTCGTAAAAGGGGGTTAAAATAAAGGCCAGGGTAAAAAAATAGAATTTATTGCTTACCAACTATGTACATACATGAATTACCGACTTTTATCAGATCCATCTTTTACAGTACTCCGAAACAACAACGAGGGGAGGACACAGGTCACTACCCGGGTCACACGCACAACCGACGCGAAGAGTTACCCCAAAAGTAATCAAAATTCAACCCCCCTCGTATTCCGCCTTCTTTTATTGAGCTTTGCTAGGCTGACATTACCAAAATTATGACCCCTCGTCCCAGGAATTCCAATGTCAGCAAAATCAACCTTTCAAAACACAATTCGTTACGGAATATCAGGAAGTTGACCCCCTTTTGTGACATAAGCCCGGCCCCACAAGTTTCTCGCCTCGACAAACCACCTTAAATCTACCCTAACAATTACATTTCTAAAGTCTGCCAAGAACCCACATCAACGTCCTCCTCGATCGATGTTGTAGTAAACACCACCATTGCGTCAGGACTCTTCGTTCTTCAAATGGATCAGGTCAGGGAAATGCTTCCGGATTAGCATGCGTAAACCAAGGCTTCTCTTGTGTGAAGGTCCACCCTCTTGTAGCGGCCCAATATTGTTATTGGGCTTGGCCGCTAAGTCTTCAACCCTCGTAACTTCTGTTCTTTCTTCATTGTTACTATCGTTTAACTTGTCTTCTCATTTTCTTTCGCCGTCTTTGTTACTCAATTACAATTTTTGCATTCCCACGGCAGAATGTCGCAGAAAATTTAATTTTCTCAATCGACAGAAACTTCCGACTCGTAGTTTTGGTCCGGGAAGTTCTTAACTTCTTCGTTTTGGTTTACAACGAAGTTCTCCAAGTAACGTCTCTTCTGCTTGTAGCAACTCGCCTCTCCTTCAGCTCTCCCCACCGATCATTCCTCGAGGCTCTTCTCGTGGGCGTTGGACAGAGAGAAAAACTAATTGACATGACAATTAATTCTTACCTATCTTAATACTAACAATATTTTGAAACGGGAGCCTTTCGGCTTTACATTACTTTGTTTATTCTACCATATGGTGGTGACAAAAATGAATTTTCAATGCGTCATCTATTCTTGCCGCACCAACCTTGACTGGAATGTGACTTTAGCTCATTAGCTGATTGTGATTAGACACATTACATTCAAACTTTGTAATTTACTAAAATTGTTTGTTTTTTGAGAGTCAAACTTTTTTTGCTTTATTTTTCTTTTTTATGAATCTACATTTATTTTTTTATTTTTACTTTTGCTTCGTTTTTTTTTTATCTACTGTTTATTGTGTATACAGAGTACGCCAGAACACGCACCCCAAATGCCATATAAGGTAAGATACCAGGTACATGGAAAAAATATTAAAAAATTTTATCTATAAAAATTTCGAAGTTATGAGGATTTAAATTTTGCACTTTAACTCTATTTATTTCTGTTGGAAAAATAATTTTACAAGTTTTTTTGCTATAGGCTATTAAAAAGGAAAACAAGGAAGCTGATATGTATCCTAAATTGTAACTCTCTTCAATGTTATTTGTGGCTTTTATTGGCAAAATTTGTGTACCTTTACAAATAATTCTAAAAAAAAACATCTACAAGATCATTATTATGATTAAATAAACATTAAAAAATGTCAAATGTCAAAAAATAAATGTCAAAATTTTTTGACCGATAGAATTTTTTAAACATTTTTTCCATGTTCTTGGTATCTTACCTTACTTGAAAATTTTCTCTGGGGCGCGAGTTCTGGCGTACCCTGTATTTCGAAATATATTTCGTTTGTTTTTTTTTTGAAAATATAATACATGTAAAACACGACTTAATTTTAGATTAATTAATTAATTTTATATTCAACTTTTTATATTTTTTTTAATTTATTTTTTTTTTTTATGAATCTACATTTATTTTTTTTTAATTCCTATTTTTGTTTTGTGTTTTTTTTTAAATCTACTTTATATTATGTATATTTCCAAATATATTTCGATTGTTTTTTTCAAAATATACTACATGTAAAACACGACTTAATTTTATTTCCACATTAATTTATGTATAGCGGGAACCATATGGATCCGCTCATGTTAGAAGTGGTGTTTGCAGGAAGTGGACGGATACGCAAGTCTTAAAAACTCCCACAACCATGCTGAAAAACCCCGCAGTTGAAGGGTTAAACTTAAACTCAAAATTTATTACTTATCAATCTTTTCCCTCAAAATGTTTCCTTTTTTTAGTTCCTCCCGGAAAAAAAAACTAAAACATACTTACGATTTTGACTTTTTACATTCGTTTTTCTTAATCCTTCGACATGATTTCGGTCCTCCTTCTTGATGAAATGAACCAGGAAGGGCCAGTTCCCAATTCTTCTTTTCCCAATCTTCGATGTGTCATTTTCCGAGAGATCTCTTTCGTTTTGTCTTTACTTCGAACCTATGAAAATTCTTCATACTACGTCCCTAACCTATTCAACGTGGCTCGGTACTTCTCGCTCTAATTTTCGCACCCTCTGTGCTTCTCCCACATGACTATTCCGCCACGAACTTGCGACCTCTGTGTATTTTCTTCCAGCTTCAACCTCAATGGCTGAGAGACGTTTATCAAAATCCTCAAGGAACCCCTCGGAGGAGGGTGTTCAACTCAAATAAAATACTCTCGAATTTTTGCTGACATTCTGCCATTTCGTGATTTTTTGAACTTAGTTTCCTCAGTTTTTATGACTTTGCCTCAAATATCATCAATGAACGCTTGGACTGTCATCAAATCTAACTCTTTGTCCTCGACAAGTGCAACCAGTGAAGCCTGGCGGTCACCTAGAGTCCCTTTATCATCTTCAAAGTTTGAAATTTCACACCAAACTTATCCACAGCATGGCCAAGTAGTTTTTGTCCGTTCCTGACTTTTCCCCAAGTAGTGATTTTTTTGTTGGTTTAAGCGCCCCCAATCGGTTTGTAGTTTTTGAACAACGAAAAAACGATATTGAGACTAAAAGGAAGGTAATTAATAAATTCCTTCCTTTCAGTCTCAATATCGTTTTGTCGTTTTAGGAAATCCTCGATCATGGTTTTGTCTTTTTCACGGTCATTTTCGAACGATTCGATTTCATCTTGCAATTCGTTGTCAGTCCCTTCGAATTCGAAAGCTAGATTTTCTCTATTACTTCTTTGTTTTTCGACAAGACTAATTCTTGATGCTTTGTTGGCCGCCAAATCCCTTTCTCTACTCTCTCTCTCTCTCTCTAAAACGTTCTCAACTTTCATAATTACTTCAATAATCAGTTGTAATTTATTCGTTTTGGTTTCAATTTCGGTGTCAAATGACTTGAGTTTGTTTCCCTTATTTTGCAAGTTTCATTTGTCTTTTTTCACGTGTTCTTTCTTCTATGCTCAACTTCTAGTTTCGGTAACCTGATTCTGTCTTGTCTGTCTTTCCATTCTTTCCGGTAGCTTTCGACGCATTTATTGGACTGTTGGGCATTGAAAATTTCGTCGAATTTTCCTTACCTTTCTTTCGTAATTTAATTTGGCTTTGATGCTGGTTCTTGATGTCATTTACGGCTCGTTGAAAAATCGAATTTTTCTTTAACTTTCTTTCCCTCGTGCAAAGACCACGCAGCGTTTTCCTAGTGACAAAAAAAATCACATTTACTCTCTTTAATGTTCATAAATTTAATGAAAAATAAATAGTAGAAGTGTTGTATACCACACTATTTACCAAAAAGAGACTCACCATGTTTTTAGCACAATATTTGATATTTTATCGAAGCCATTACATATGCAACATTCCAGAAGGAACTAACAGTGATCAAGGTTTTCTCAACGACCCAAAAATGACATCCAGAATCAGCACCAAAGTCCAAATTAAATTACGAAAGAAGAAAAGAGAGAGTTAAAGAAAAATTCGACGAAATTTTCAATGCCCAACAGTCTAATAAATGCGTCAAAATCTACCAGAAAGAATGGAAAGACAGATAAGACAGAATCAAGTTACCGAAACTAGAAGTTGAGCATAGAAAGGAGAAGAAAGAACACGTAAAAAAAAACAGAACTTGCAAGATAAGGGAAACAAGCTCAAGTCATTTGACACCGACATTGAAACAAAAACGAATAAATTACAACTGATTATTGAAAAAATTATGAAAGCAGAAAACGTTTTAGAGGGGCTAGAACGGGATTTGGCGGCCAACAAAGCAACAAGAATTAGTCTTGTTGAAAAGCAAAGAAGCATTAGAGAAAATCTACCTTTCGAATTCGAAAGAACTGACAACGAATTGCAAGATGAAATTGAATCGTTCGAAAATGACCGTCAAAAAGACGAAACCATGATCGAGGATTTCCTAAAACGACAAAACGATATTGAGACTAAAAGGAAGGAATTTATTTTTTCCTTTTAGTCTCAATATCGTTTTTTCGTTGTTCAAAAACTACAAACCGATTTGTGGCGCTTAAACCTACAAAAAAATCACTACTTGGAGAAAAGTCAGGAACGGAAAAAAACTACTTTTACATGCTGTGGATAAGTTTGATGTGACAATTTCAAACTTTGAAGGGACTGATAAAGGGACTCTAGGTGACCGCCAGGCTTCACTGGTTGCACTTATCGAGGACAAAGAGTTAGATTTGATGACAGTCCAAGCGTTCATTGATGATGTTTGAGGCAAAGTCATAAAAACTGAGGAAACTATAAGTTCAAAAAATCATGGCAGAATGTCAGCAAAAATTCGAGAGTATTTTATTTGAGTTGAACACCCTCCTCCGAGGGGTTCCTTGAGGATTTTGATAAACGTCTCTCAGCCATTGAGGTTGAAGCTGGAAGAAAATACAGAGAGGTCGCAAGTTCGTGGCGGAATAGTCATGTGGGAGAAGCACAGAGGGTGCGAAAATTAGAGCGAGAAGTACCGAGCCACGTCGAATAGGTTAGGGACGTAGTATGAAGAATTTTCGTAGGTTCGAAGTAAAGACAAAACGAAAGAGGTCTCTCGGAAAATGACATATTGAAGATTGGGAAAAGAAGAATTGGGAACTGGCCATTCCTGGTTCATTTCATCAAGAAGGAGGACCGAAACCATGTCGAAGGATTAAGAAAAACGAATGTAAAAAGTCAAAATCGTAAGTATGTTTTGTTTTTTTTTTTCGGGAGGAACTAAAAAAGGAAACATTTGAGGGAAAAGAATCGAATCGTTCGAAAATGACCGGCAAAAAGAAGAAACCATGATCGAGGATTTACTGAAATGACAAAACGATATTGAGACAAGAAGCAAGAAAATTAATTAGTGCAAGAGATGCCTCGTAGAAAAAACCTTGACCACTGTTAGTCCCTATTGGCGGTCATTGCACATTTGATGGCTTCAATAGTGGTGGTTTCACCAGAACTATTCTGGCCGAAGTTGCGGAGGCCCGCAATTTGCAACTTTTCCAGAGTTGCCATCGCTGGAAAAATAACTTTAAGACAAAAATTAAGGAAAAAATCGACTTACCTGATTTTGTAAGAAAATAAACTAAAGGTTCTCGTGATTATTCCAAAATCTTGACTATTTTATTAGACGTTTCTAGAAGTAAGAATTGATAAGAATCATGGAAAAAAACCAACAAAAAAAATTAAACTTACTTTTGTGACAAAAAACTCGGTAATTTTCATAAATTTAATGAACAATGAAACATAAAAGGATTATGTAGCACACTGTTAACAAAATAGAGGCTCACTATACTGTTTTTCAACACAATTTTTGATATTTTATCGAGCTAAAACGTAGGTTATGTTATCAGTTCAAATTTCAAAAACAACGGTTGGTAATCGGGGATCAGTGGTACCTGACTTACCGGCCGGTTTACCTTCAAAAATAATAAATAAATAAATAATGGAAAACTTGCAAATAATGAGTTAAATGTTATAAAAAAAAATCAGATAAATACGGTCTTATTTATTTCGTTTTTTTGTAATTTACTCTTTCTAATGTTAACGAATTTATTGAAAAATAAATAGTAGAAGTGTTGTATACCACAGTATTTACCAAAAAAAGTCTTACAGTGTTTTTAGCACAATTTTTGATATTTTATCTAGATAAAATTTAATTTGTTTGAATTTGAAAAAACAATGGTTGGTATCATTGGTACCTGACTTACCGACCGGATTACTTTTAAAAATAATAAAAAAGTAATTAATGAATAAAAAGAAAAATTGTAGACGCGGCAATAATGTGTTTAACATTATAAAAATAAAATTTTAGATCACAACTGTTTATTTTTTTCTTTTTTGAGCCAAATGAAAATTGTTCATGGAGATTTAAAAAAAGAAGCTTGCGCGATTTGGTTCTTGGTAAACTAAAAGAGGACGACAGATTAATGATGAAATTGTTTGTAACTGACCGTCATTGAAAAAATTTATAATTTGTTAATTATCACACAGAGTGGATTTGCATATTTGCACCTATAAGGTTTGAGAGTTGATGTAATCCTGATAGTTTCGCTGTAAACACCGAGTAAAAAAATCAAAATTATAGTTTCTGAAAATTTTAAACAAAAACTATAATAAGTCCGACGGGAAAAATGGTACATTTTTTAAAATTCAAATAAAAAAAAGACTTAGAGTAATTACTAATTTTTAGTATCGGCATTGCTGGTATTTTAAAATAAAAATAAATAAATTAACAATTTATTCTAGATCAAAAGGTTTGCGTAGTCGAATTTTCTGGACGATTTAAATGAGACAATGTGGATTCCGGCCGCTCCGGTAATTTAGGAGTACCTAAACAATAACAGTTATTATTTTATTACTTTTAAGGTAAGCGCCCGGAAAAAGTCAAATAGTTTATTTAAGAAAATTCTCATTGTATGAAGGTTATTTAACTGGCATTTAAATTAAGTCAGTAATTTCAACATACCAAGTGAACAATTAGTATGGAACTAATAAGCGTTCTCTTTCTTCTTTTTCAGAAAATAATAATTAATAAAAATTAAAATGTAATTAAGAATGAAATTTTGTTTTGTTTTTGAGTTATACGATTTTTTTAATAGCAACCTATAAGTATCATTTTTTTTTTTTGATAAAAATTGAAGAAAATGTAGATCCTAACCTTTGTAAAAAAAAGGTTTTATAGTGAGTTTCCATCCAATTCCAATAATTTAAAATTTCAAACCATTATGGAAATCCAGAATCGTAGATTTACTATTGTTTTATTAAATAATAAATAAAAAACTGAAATCTTTGAACAAAAATACTTTATTTCAACATCAATACAGATCAATAAAATATCGTATACTCTCGGCTCTCTTTCAAATAGCAACCGATTCCTTCTCAAATATCCAAAACGTCTCGACTTCTCCTTTCCCCTAAACACAAACAACACAAACACTCCTCAAACCAATATTTACTCAACTACCTTCAGTTTCACAAGACCTCTATCCTCAATAACGTAGCGCCCCTCAGGTAATTTCTCCTTAGTCTGTGCGGAAATATGCACCATTCCCGGCTACAAAAACAATTTCAAACTTTTATTAATAATTCATTTCGGTATTTACCGAACTTGTCGATTGCATTCGCGACGCTGTATTAACCGTATCACCAAAAAAGCAATACCTCGGGACTTTAATACCCACAACTCCGGCGACAACAGGACCTGAATGCACTCCTACACAAACCTTATAAAGTATCAAAACCAAGATAAAAGTTTACCAATGCGAACTTCCACGATTCGAGTACCACTTCCCGAAGGAATTTTCAGTTGTTTGACTTGGCGCATCATACAGAGGGAGACGTCGCAGATGTTTTGGGCATGAAGGGAGGACCTTTCAGGGGCACCACTCACGGACATGTAGACTTGACCCACGGTTTCCACCTTGAGAAAAACTGAATTTGAATGGTGCTGGAGAAAAAGGAGGGTACCTTATAGACGTTAAATCTGTCCATGAGGGAGTCGAAACAGGAGAAGACGGCGTTCATGGTGGAGACCAACTCCATGGCGTCTTGCACCGTCGTGGAGTTACAACCCACTAACTCGCAAAACATTATAGTTACAGCATCGAATGTCTGAAATTTGATTTTACAAAACAATTTATATTTCTTGAAAAAATACTTCGCAAGTGCTTAGGGGCGATTTGCCGTTTCTGAGCCGATCAGCGACCGTTCTGGGTATCATGGAGTACAAAAGGTCGTCTCCTCTTCTCTTCCACGTGTCCAGCAAACTGTGATAATTTTCAAGTTCATTTGCCCTCTGTTCCGCTTTATCAAACATCAACCCAAATCTGGGTCAAGAATTGTTAATTTTCAGTTATTAAAAGACAAAGTCTTACTTGGAGTTGTGCTGCCAGCCCGCTAACACCATTTCTTTCCCCAACCCGTGTTGATTTAGGTCATTGAGATAAAGCCCTTGATCAGGCAGCTCGTTAATGTCATTCACTCTGTAATCGCAAATCCCCGTTTTATCCCAAATTATTACATCCCTCCATGGGCGCCGACTTTTCATATTTTTAATGGGTGCATAACAAAAAATTAGTATAACTTACAGGACTTGATAATAATTACGCAAAAAAACGATTCCTTCTTGACTATGTTTGTTGAATTTATTGTATTTAATATTTAGAAAATTTAAAAACAATATAATTTTTTGTACAAAAAAAAATCAATAAATAAGATATGCAATAAAAAGTATAAAACATAGTACATGATCAAAGTTATTGAGTTTTGAAAAATAATACACTACTGTTAAATTTGAAAATAATTTTTAAAAAGTGACTTTTTTAAAAATTTGCATGAATGTTCGTAAATCTAGTGCTGAATACAGCTTGGAGGGTATCAACTACAACTTTTTATTAATGCAATTAATAAGAGATAAAATTAGAGTAAACACAAGCTAAATAAATGATCTCAAAAATTAATCAGTATGAGTTCATGATTTTTTACATTGATTTTTTAATTTTTTAGAATATTTTTTTTCAAATTTAACATGCAAAATTGTAGAAAAAAGTGAAAAAATTGCTTTCTCATTTTGATGAAGATGTTCAGAAACAATTAATTCCTTTAATTCTTTTGTAAAATTTTGATCGATCGGTCTGAGTTTAGAGCTATTGGGCGTACATAAATTAGGCTATAAAAAAACCTAATAACATATTTACTTTTAATATTCGTGAATACGCTGTATATTTACTACGAAAAAAAATAGTATATTAAAGTACAAGTTGCAGAAGGTATCTTATTCAAGCACAAATTTGAAACTCCGAAACGAGCCGCGAAGCGGCGAGTTAAAGAACAAATGTGTGCTTGAAGAACCTTCTGTAACAAGTGCTTTATACTATTTTTTCTATTTTGCCGCTTTATATCATTTTATAAATTAAAAAACGTAAATTATTTTTTTTTTCTAGAGAATTTTGCGACAGTGGGCGACATTTATGTGTGGAATAATTTTAGGCGGCTGTAAAAAATAAAAATTATTCTTATTTTCACATTTGAAAATGAATTGTGAAGAAAGTCCGTCACTAAAATTAAATTACCGCGAACGACTTATTCCAGCACGCAAATGACGTCACTTGGGTAATGCAATAGACTTATTCTAACACCGAAATAGAAAAATACTTTTTCTTCTTTTCTTTAAATCAATGTCGCAACTAAATTTTTTTCCAAAAAAATCGCAAAAGCATCTTGCAGAAAATTTATTCCAGTTTTTGAAACTGTCCTTATATTGTGTGAGCGGTCATTGGTTGCTGAGATATCGATGATCAAAAACCAAAAGATCCTTTTTCATTAAAAGTCAAATATCTTAGCGACAAGTTGACTTAAAGAAAACATAAAAAAATCAAATTAAAGCTGAATGAACAAGCAATCCGGCTCATGTAATTAATAAAAATTTCCCCAAATCCGTGGACCAAAAAAAAAAAAATTAAAAATTACAATTTTTTTTCTCGAGCTATTTCTTAGGACTACATAATAACCGCAGCTGAGAAAATTTTTTACCAAAAGATTTCAAGACAAGCAACTTGAAGCTTTACAATGGATTTTTTAAATCTAAATACGACCGTTTTTCATTGAGGTACGATATTTCAAAAATCATCAAAAAATTTAAGAAATTTTCTTGTTCGCTAAATTTTTTGGAATAGTAAAAGGGTTATGTAAAATGTTTTATCGTTTTAAAGTTTTTGAAATAATAAGAAATCTTTTTTCAAGGAGTTTTTCATTAAAGAGCTTAATTTTGAATTAATTTGAAAAAAAAGAAAAACAAAATACAATTTAAAAAAACAGAAAATTTAAGACATTTTTGACATTAAAATTGATTTTAGAAAATGCAACCTTACTAAAAAAAGATTAGAATAAACACGAAATTTCAAATATTATTAAGATTATTACTATTATTTTTTTTACCTTAAACAACAGTACATTATTTTCATTTTTCAATGGGTGCCTAGCACCCATCAAAAAATTTCCATGGGTGCATCCGCCCCGATGCCCACATGTAGTCGGCGCCCATGCATCCCCCAACTTACACTGGACTGCAGAGATAAATAGTCGCATTTATGTCATCAAGAAACAGCATTTGACCTTTCAGAAGTATGTTTTTCAGGCCGGGTTGACTGTCTCGCCTCAAAGCATACGGAGAGATGCTTTTTCCGTCGATTTCAATCTCGAGAGTTTTATCATCGAGGGTGTCCCCAATGTCGGCCTTTGGCACCAACTCGGATCGAAGCAACTCCAATTCAAACATGACCGATTTCAAGTTGATAATCTAAAACGAAATTTCAGGATATTGAGACACTACAAAGGGAGTTACATTTTTCCAGGTAAAACTGATCCCTTTTGGACGCCTCAACCGGAAAAATTTCGTCACAGGCTTTCGTAAGAGTTTGTTCTTGCCCCCGGATAAGTCAACGAGTTTTTCGCCACAACCGATAATTTCCAACATGGGATCAAAAAGGAAAGCGCAAGGGAAAAGCTCGAGGAGGAGACTGCAGGAAAATGGGGCCAACTGACTGATTTTTAAATGAGCATCAGCTTTGGCTTTTTTAGCAGCTATCTGAAATTTCCATCAATAAATAATAAAAGAATCGGATTATATACTCACATATTGGCTGTTATCAAAGTTGAGCCTGAAATTGACGATTTTTATATTTCGTCCGCTAATAGTCCTGTTTTCCTGATTAAGGACTGTTGTTTCCAACTTGAGATTAAAAATATCTCTCGCAATCTGATGCAATTGACCTAAAACAGAGTTTTACGACCCTTTGAAACCTTATTTTCGACTTTACCCATTAAATAATGATTGAAACCCTGTCTTCCGCTCCGATAAACCAATACACATCCATTTTCATCAACTTCTGTTACATACATCGACGGGCTTTTCATCTTCGGGTAAGACAGTGCGAACTGGATGTGGATATTATCAACATTTTCCAGAAAATCGGTGAAATTGCGACCTGTTGCTTTAATTGTTAAATCATAACTGAAAATTTTACTTCAGAACAGAAGTTTCATTTGGAGTAAAAATACCCAAAATTGCTGAAAAACCTCACGAAGCACTTGCCGAAGAAGTTCATGAAAACATCGGCCGACTGGGCGGTGATTTCGGCCAAAGCTGCCGCCAGAGCGCCCATGATATGGTCAGGGTACACTTGATGGGTGCTAAAAACCGTGTATTTGCATTCCGACAAGTGCAGAGCTTTCTGCCAAATTTCTTCGCCGTACTCTAACTAAAATCGATTTTTCTTAAGAAAATTGCGTGTGCAATTGGTCTATTTATATTCAACGAGGAGAGTGTTGCGATAATGAATGATCTTCTATTTTGGAACGTCGATTAAAGCGACCATTTGAGACTCGCAATAAATTAGAGGACAATATTAGGACAGGCCAAGGTTGATTAATTGATTATTGTGTAATTAATAAAATGAAAATTTTCTTACCTGGACAAAATGTTGGACACTTTCGAGTAACATTCCGTACATTTTGCACTGATTTTTTTCATTTATTTGATAAGGAGGGAAATTAAAGACGTGCACGAGGCGAAGCCACCAACAAAGTGCGTAACTTCGGGAGTTTCAACTAAGAAAAGCGCAAGAAGCGGGAGGTGATTGGATCAAACATTCCCAAGCGGGGGAACAGGTGGTTGCCAGTTGATAAATTGTGAATTTTGAATGGTTTACTGATTTATTGAAGCGTTTTTTAACAAGTTTTTAATTAAACTGAAAACTGAACACATTTATTCTGATACAATTAATATTTCTAATATTGATGTTTGGGAAAAAAAATTGAAAATATAAACTTCCCCAGTCATAAATTTAAATCGATGGAAGAAAATGTTTCGGTTTTCATAAATAACATAAAAATGTATTAACAAAAAAGCATTTATTTAATAATGTAATAAAAGTAATTTATTAACAACAAATTATTATCTTTGAAATTGCTAAAAACTTTGAATAAAAATGTTGTCAAAAAACAACAAAAAATTAAAATTGAATTTAATAAATAAATTATTCTAAATAAGTGAATACAGCAACATGACATTGAGCTCTTTTTGGTAAAAAAAAATGATTCATCCATCATTCTATACAAAACAACTATTTAAATTCTTATTTATTATTTTCTCTCCTTATAATCAGTTTTATATTTATTTGTAGATATTGATTTTTTGCATCGTAGTTAAAATTTAGAATAAAACCATATTATGCAAATCTAAAATTTTAAAAAATAAAGCAAGCAAAATTTACTTCTTTTATCGTCCTCGACAAAATTTCTTAATTGAGGTAAATATTTAATAAAATATAAATTTTAAAAACTGATCTAATTTTTTTTGTAGAATGAGAATTAAGCATAGAACATAAGAGAATGAAAAAAGTGATGTGATTAAAAAAATATATGTGAATTTTTTGAAAATTGCTTAATAATTATGTTAAACAATAGAGCAATGACCTGTTTTACCAACGTGATCGAAAAATCTACTTTTCTATATTTTTTCTGTACTTATATTATTATTTTTATTAAAAAATTCAGTATACAAAACATTTATTATCTTTAGAAATGTTAAAAAATTGAAATAAAAAAAGCCAAAATGAAATTAATAAAAATAATACAAGGTGTTTCACACAACTGTACGAGGCTAGCGCCTAATGTATGTACGCACCCAAATATACAAAAGTCACAATAAAACACTAGATACAAAAAATACACATTTAATTAATTAATTGTTGGAAACCCGTGACAGTAATTGTCAGACTAATCAATGTTTTATTAATAGTCATAAACTGCAATTTTTCAGAAACAATTATCATTTTATCTATTAAGAAACGGCATAAATATGATTATAGTTTATCTATCTTAATCACTAACTAACTAAAAACGTTGTAATTTTTGAAAAGGTGAACAAACTGCAGAAGATTATCCAATTTTTCAAAATTTGTAATCGAGTTCGTATCGGAATATTTATTATTGATTGCATCTTACAGGCCCAGGCCTGGTAAAATTATGTGAAACACCCTGTATATTTTTTTTTTGGAAAAAAATATGATTTACCAGTTTATACAAAACAACAAATCAAATTACTATTTTATTATTTTGTCTTTCTTATTTTTACTTTTATAGTAATCAGTTTTATATTTACATATTTGCAGATAGATATTCATTCATGCAAATTTGAA